GGTTACATGAATTACTCCACCTGTGAGTGTGTGCGTGCGTGCGTGCGTGCGTGCGTGCGTGCGTGCGTGCGTGCGTGTGTGTGTGTGTGTGTGTGTGTGTGTGTGTGTGTGTGTGTGTGTGTGTGTGTGTGTGTGTGTGTGTGTGTGTGTTTCTAATGTATGACCATGTACATATGATATTTTTAACAAGTCCTGCTGTCACCTTTAACATTCATCTAGACACAACTTCCTTTTGAAACCCTTCACAATAAGAGCACAGGGCAGATGTAATAACTTTAAAAAGAACAAAAAAACTAAACAGGTGATGCTCATCTAAATAACTTACAGACTCTAGGTTCATCATGTTTTCATCCCACTTATTATAATCGGCTCGTATATTATTGTCATTTATCATACAGCAGCTGCTGAACTCCTTGTTAAAGAATAGACAGAGTCACATGTTAGGTGGATGGGAGATACTTGTTATGATAAACCATAAATCACACTGGAAATAAACCAAAAATGAGAAGAAGTACAGGAAGTAAAATTAGTGACTGCTAGTTTTTACTTTTTTAAATCACAGAGTAAGCTAGCAGAGGGACATAAATCAGATGAAGAGCGTCTGCTTCTTAAGGAGCATCTGTAATCAGAAAACAGCCGCCGATGTTGACAACGTTCTGTGTTCATGGGCGAAAGATGCATCGATGATCAGGAACCCCCTGAAGCGATCACACACTTATCGCAGGGAGGAAATTCACCTCACATAAAACCGCGAAGACACAAGATGCTGACTAACAAAGTAAACTTCTTCTTTGTTCCAGATTTAGTCACTGAAACAGCACAACCCTCCTCTTGGTTTTAACTTGGTCTCATCATCACATCCATTCATGTTTTCACTAAATAAAGGTCTTGTTTTTATATAAGTACGAGGAGGACAGACAACTCTTAAATAGCTCAGATCTCCTAAATGATGCTGCATTGAATTATGAGGTTCTTTACAAGAATAAAAGTCTTCAGCAGCAAACACCATGACCTCCGTGGTCATCCTAACTACATGATGTATAAAACATGAATGTTGTGATTACAGTATTGGCAAAAGCCACTTTTTCTATTTCACAACTCTGTTTTTGTCACTATCATCTAAACCTGGTGAAAACATCATGGGTGGTAAAGCTGCGCTCACGATGCAGGAAAAATGGCTCCAATCTGAGTTTTTTCGGACAATCTGAACAGGAAGTGTCTGACACGAGGCCAGTTTAACACGTGATCCTAAATCAAATTCAATACTGATGTTTTTCTGACTCTTGCATCATCGGCGTGTGACAGACTTCCCAAATCTGTGCCAGAGGAGACATGAAGCAGCGAGATTAAATGTAAACAAGCTTTCTGTCATCAGTTGGTCACAGTTTTATCAGAAATATTTTAACAACAACTTTAAAGCTGGTACACACATACACACACACATAATCTAGTCTAGCATTCGTTGTGAGGACCGGTGTCGGTACAAGATCAGCTCACCGTCCTGCGTCTGCAAATTACATCACAGTAGATCTGAGATCTGAGCTATTTTATCCTGCTCGACTTCACGGCTGCATTTGACACTGTCAGCCATGGCTTCCTTTTGTCCACACTCTCTAGCATGGGCATCACAGAGAAAGCACACGCCTGGTTTGAATCGTACCTCACAGGACGATCATTCAGTGTATCTTGGCTTGGACAATCCTCTACCGTGCACCATCTTGCCACAGGAGTCCCCCAGGGCTCTGCACTAGGACCTCTTCTCTTTGCCATATACACCACCTCATTGGGTGAGATCATTCGATCACATGGCTTCTCCTACCACTGCCAAGCAGAAGACACCCAGCTCTATCTGTCATTTCCACCAGACAACCACACTGTCTCTGCACAAGTATCAAACAGAGTCTCTCTGACATATCAAAATGGATGAAATCCCACCATCTCCAACTCAACCTCTAAAACTGAACTACTTATCATCCCAGCAAAACCATCCATACAGCACAATATCTCAATCCAAAATGACTTCCTATCTCTGGCTCCTTCAAAGGCAGTTCGAAATCTGGGTGTTGTGATTGATGAACACCTGAGCTTTAAAGATCATGTTGCCTCTGTTGCTCGTTCATGCCGCTTTGCGCTGTATAACGTACGAAAGATCAGACCATACCTAGCACAACATGCCACCCAGCTTCTGGTGCAATCTACTGTCATCTCCCGCCTCGATTACTGCAATGCTCTTCTAACTGGTCTTCCAGCCTGTACTGTGAGACCTCTTCAAATGGTCCAGAACGCAGTGGCGCGTCTGGTCTTCAATCAGCCAAAAAGAGCACACATCACCCCTCTGTTCATTGAGCTCCACTGGCTACCGCTAGCAGCACGCATCAAATTCAAATTGCTAACACTAGCATACAAAGTCCGAGATGGTACGGCTCCCATCTACCTGAATCCTCTTGCAAAGGCTTACGTCTCGGCCCGGCCGCTCCGGTCATCACAGGATCGTCGGCTAGCAGTGCCTACACCACGCTCAGGACAATCCAGACTCTTCTCATGCATCGTTCCACAAATGTGGAATGACCTACCAAGCATTACCAGAACAGGGGCTTCCTTTTCAATTTTCAAGAAACTCCTGAAGACCCTGCTCTTCAGAGAGCATCTTCTAAACTAGCACCCTCCCTGCACCGTCCACCCTCTCTGTCCACTCCTTGTTTCCTCCTCTCCATGACTGATGTCAAATTGTTGTTGTTATTGTTGTTGTTAGCCTCAAGGGCAACATGCCGATTATCACTTGTAAGTCGCTTTGGACAAAAGCGTCTGCTAAATACATAAACATAAACAGTAGATGATTGACTGAACGTAAGCCTTACGGAAATTACGATACCACTTTTGTAAAAGTTACATTAGCGTGTTGACAATGATTATTTTGATTGGTCAGAACGAATTTATGGTTGTAGTCTTAGCGGTTGTAGTCCTGTAGTCCAAAAATCAACACTTTTCGGAGAAAATGTGTTTGAATTTCCAAAGGAAATGTAAAATATAAGCAACTGATAAAAGGTGACCCTCAAAAGCTCTTGATGATGATGAAATGGGGCAAAGTAAAATATAAGAACTTTATTGAAAAGACACCAAGCAATGTTTTGAATGAATGAATGAATGAATGAATGAATGAATGTTTTTACATAACAACTAAGGAATTAACCGGATGAATTCCACATTAACACAAACAGACGTGGCTTCACATAGAAGAACTGTTGTGTTTTTTGTCAGTCCGATGTCGGTTTTATGCAGTTTCACATTCTTTACAAAACAAAGATAATTTGGAGTTGTATTAACAAATTACAATTATAAAGAAAACATTTAGGTGTTAACAAACAAGAATTTATTAACAAAACTGCTGATGTCTTTCCAAAACGTGTGTGTGTGGAAGCCGAGTGAATGTGACGTCATCAGCCGGTGCAGGATCCCGAGCAGATCTGGTACCGACAGGATTAATTTTAGTGACTGGATTGTGCCAAACCCTAACCTTAGCTAAACCTTAGCTGCTTTCCGCAGTTTTCCTCTTTCAGAAATGATAAACGTAAACCCGATTGTCTCATCATGTACTGTGGTCAAATGTAAGTAATACGTCTTTATTTCTTCTTTTTTTTTTTTTTTTTGCTAAGCACGCCCCCTGCCCCGCAGAGCGCCGTGCAATAGGAAACTGAGCGCCGACCAGAACTAACCAATAGCGTTAGACTACCGCTTAGATCAGGGGTGTCAAATATGCGGCCCGTGGGCCGGATCCGGCCCGCAACCGGGTTAAATCCGGCCTGCGAGATGGTTGTGTAAACTTTATTTTCATACTTTACAATGTAGAGTGAAAATAAACTTATCTTTGTGAGCAAGTTTTCTCTGTAATGAGTTTAAATAAAACAAAGCTGCACTCAAGGCTCACACAAGAACTTGAATCACATCCTGAGGTTGGCTGCCACTCAGGATATGACTTGATATTGATGTGCTGGTGAAAGCTGATGTAAAGTAAAATGAGTCAAATATACTTTAAGTGCTGCATGAAACTGATCTAGCCATGTGATCTGTAAGCTCTTTGAATCACTAAGGAATGTTATTTTTTTATTTGTTGATTTTTTAAATTTTTTCAAATTTTCAAGTACACTTCAGGTGTTGTACTTGTACTATTTTGGATACACTGTCCTCAGGCTCCAGCCTTGTTTTATATTGATTGTATTAAAACAAAGAAAACAATCTGAAGTTTTTTTTTTATTTACCGGTCCGGCCCCCTTGGAACTAGATTTCCCTCAATGTGGCCCCTGAGCTAAAATGAGTTTGACACCCCTGGCTTAGATGCTTCAAATTTAAAGAATACCTCAGCTGATGCAGAGTTGATGAGCTTTTCACGGACAAGTAAGTATCTAAAATATAAATATATAAGAACACAACATGACACGAGAATAATACTCATAAAACAACGTGTTTTAGCTCCATTTGTTGGCTAAGAAGCGCATTTATAAACAGAAACGTGAAGTCGCCATCTTAAAAAAAAACGGATCAACAGACTTTTTGTGTGATACGCTTGTCAGCCATTAGATGGTGCTATTGGATAAGAGAAATACTCCGGAAAGAAGCTTTAATTCACACATACAGTATCTCCCAGTAGAGCTCTGTGACATTGTCCTAAAGTGAGGACCAGCAAAATGTCCTCACTTTGCTACCAATGTCCTCAGTTTTCAGGTAAAAAAAACTTGCTTTGGTCCTCAACCAGGCACTCACTCACACACACACACACACACACACACACACACACACACACACACACACACACAAAGAATTCACATGCAGGTGGCTGCAGGAAATATTTTTGCTATTCTACACCCCTATTAGCACTGCTAAGCTAGAACGCTTAGCAGTGCTAATAGGGGTGTAGAACCCGGTGCTGTTTGAGGCGAGGTCTGTTTACATTCTGCTCTGCTGCATCTCTGATGCCTGACTTGTCCTTTGTCTCTGTTTCTCAGATGGACCCTGTCCAGAAGGCTGTGATCAACCACACATTTGGTGTCCCTCAGCCACTCAAAAAGAAACAGATCATCTCCTGCAACATTTGCCACCTGCGCTTTAACTCCACGGTAAGAAATCCGTCACTGGCTTTGTGGCCAGGAAGACTGAGAACTTTAGAGCAGGGAAACAAACACATTATTCTGGGCTTCTGTTATTTTTCTGAACATGAGTTTTTTGTGACTTTATTTCAGCATTTACTAAACTTCACATCATTTGCAGCTATGGCTGTCAGTTTGCTTTTGAAACTAAGCTAATCTGTAGGCTCTATCACTTTCCCCACAGATGTAGAAAACGGTAGAAGTAGTTTTTCAGTGCTTGTGAGAATGTGTAGAACGAGGAGTCATTGGAAAGCTCTTTGTAGAACTGGGTATGGTTAAAAAAGATTTTTTGTTATTCTTTCACTTTTTTTGCCACTTAATGTGTTTTTAAGTTTGTTCTATTCAGTGAGGTCTGTGTGTGTTTGTGAGTCGTGTGGTGGTGCGAAGGATTAGACAGCAGGAGAGCTTCCCTTTATCTGCAAAGTGCAGAAACAATCAGCAGCCGCAGCAGGAGGACGATTCTCAGCTCCCAGATCCATCCTCACCACCCTGTCCTCTGTTAACGCATGCACACACACACACGCACACACACGCACACACACACACACACACACACACACACACACACACACACACACACACACCTTTTTGCACATATTCATGAACACAAAGACACACACACACGCACACACACACACACACACACACACACACACACACACACACACACACACACACCTTTTTGCACATATTCATGAACACAAAGACACACACACACGCACACACACACACACACACACACACACACACACACACACACACACACAAACCTATGAACACACACACATACTTTTATTTGGACTTCAGACTTCAAAGGAGGTCTGAGGCTCAGCAGACGGAGCTGAGGAGGAAGATGCTCCTCTCCAAAAAGCTAATCCAAATCCCTGCCTCCTCCTCACACAGAAGCAGCGAGAAGTTCTAGATGTTTCTGCTGAACTAAATATCTAACAAGAAATGAAACTGCAGGTTCTAAAATAATATTCAGACAAATCTGTGAGAAATTTAAAAGACCGGAGATTTGTTTAAAACAGCAGCACAGCCTAGCTGTTAGCTTATCAGTCTTAAATGACCTAGGCTCTGCTTCAATTTGTTCTAGGTTTCTTTTCTGTTAGAAAAGGATTTTTTATAACCTTTTACAAATGAATGCACTTTTAACTTACTAAAAAATCCCTTTATGTTTATTTAGAACGTGTGACGACTTTACGGGGGGGGGGGGGGGGGGGGTTAAGTGCTGCTTGATTAAAAATAGCAGATCTGACTGTTTTCTTGGGTAAAAGTAGAAAAATGACCCTATAAAAAGCTACTGTGAAATGGCTGCATGTCCAGCTGTGCAAACACAAAGATGTGATGTTAATGCTGCTCGTTGTGAAGATGTGTAGCTGACCTTTTAGAGGCAGACGTGACCTCTTCAATTCACTGCTCACCTTAACACTGTCAAATGAAACTGGCTGATGCAAACACCAAATTATGGATGAGCATGTTTGCACAAAGATTTCTTATGAACTGATTCACAGTTGGGGGGGGGGGGGGGGGGGGGGGCAACCACTTGAAAAGAAATTCTGGCAAAGCAAACCTTTTTCTCAGATGACTGATGGCGTAAAAACCCTCCTGGGCTTCTGGAGAAATTACCTGCTCAGGATCTGCTGACATTATACAATAAAATGAATATGTGCAAGTGCAGAAAAAGGAATCACCAGAGGGTTTTTAGTTAAAGGTCAAGAACACCGTCAAGTTTGTTTCTACGTTGCGAGCACACAAGTAGATTTGTCTGGAAAGGGGATTATATTAGTAGAGAAAGAGAGCAGGAGAATTGGATGATCAGATATTTATGTTGTATTTCTTATTTAGTTATTTATTAGTTTGCTTCAGGATTATTTACAATTTATGTAACAAATAAGATAGAGAGGAACCAGTTGAGGTGGCTCGGGCATCTGGTCAGGACATGTCCTGGATGCCTCCCTGGTGAGGTTTTCCAGGCGCGTCCAACTGGGAGGAGACCTAAAGGAAGACCCGGGACACGTTGGAGAGACTATGTCTCACGGCTGGCCAGGGAACACTCCTCCCAAGGAGCTGACCCGAGTAGCTGGAGAGAGGGAAGTTTGGGCCTCTCTGCTTAGGCTGCTGCCCTCGCGACCCGATCCTGGATAAGCGGTAGAAAATGGATGGATGGGAGCAATTGAGCTTTTGAAGTGGCAGAGTGTAGTTTCCTGCTGCTAGAGAGTAGTACTTGCACACATTTCAGGGTGGTTTTACACCACATCACCGTGACCGTTGCTAGTTTTAAAAAACATGATGGTAGATGTTGCCTGTGGAGCAGAAAGCTTGCAACCTCGGCATGACTCCTCAGACTTTGATGGTTCTTCTGGTTATTCCATCGAGAGATTCCAATGCTGATGTTTTGTTTTCTGGCGCTGTGCCTGAATGACGTCATCATACTACGGCAATACCGCTCAGTCAAAATGTATGGCATATGTGTGAGCATGAGGGAGGGAGCGTGTGACTGTGTTTGTGTGTGAATGTATACGTCAGGTGGGGTCTTGCACTCCTCCCCTCTCCTGGGACATCATGTGGTGCTACAATATCTTCGCCTACCTTCCACCTGACACTTTTTCTGCCAGTGGGCGGCGCCTCAGTCTGCAAATCTGCAGCTCTCGTGTCGGGGGCGGGACGTTTTTTGGGATCTGTTGGGTCGCTCCTGGTGGCTGCCTGGTAGAGTCTGGATCCCTGGGATCGGGTCTGCGGCGGGATTGGTAGCCCTTGGGTCGCAGGCCACTGTGTTCCGAGCTTAGCCAGCTTGGGGTGGGCGGCTGCAGGCGGGCCTGGGGGCTTGCCATTGTTATCTCCCAGGGCTCTGGCGGCTGCTGTTTGCGACCCCCGGGGTAATCCTCTAGGGAGGGGGGTTGGGGCTTCTCTGTCTCCCTGGGGTTCCTGCGCTTCAGGGAGACCCATGGATCTCTGGGGCTTGGAACTCCTCCATCTTCCACATGTATTTGGGGGCAGGTCTGTGGCCCCTCACACTCACTATTGGACTCTCCTATAGAGAAACCTCACATATACAAGTGTGTGTACGCATTGCAAGTGCAAGAGGTTTACAAGTAGAACACAAGGGTTGATGTGACTAAGTTTTGAACTGTCTAAAAGTGTCCAGTCGTTTGTAAACAAACTCTTTTTACTGCTGTTACTTTTTAATTTCCAATATAAATTACACACAAAACCATTTTAGAATAGAAAATCTTGCCCCTCTGAAAAAGCTGTCCCTCAGCAACAGTGAATAGTAAAAATATAGGTAAAAAATGTAAATTACCACATTCTGAAAAAGACTGTGTAATAAGCCACAGCAGACCCTTTACAGCGAGTGAGAACATGAATGAAAATCTGTGGAAATGAGAAGTGAATGAGTGCAAATCAGAAAAAGCAGCAGGGACACCAAATCGATCGCTGGGTTTCAGTCAGACTAAGCGTACACTGTGCGACTTTTTCACTTTTTTGAGCCGATTTTCCAGTCGTGCGAGAATCCACGACATCGGGGCGAGTTTTGCGCCGAGCGGTCGTGTAGTGTACAGGGGGTTGCGAGAGGCGATTAACACCACGTGACCAGCCGCCGATCAGCAGTCGTGAGGTCGCAGGGACTTCTGGTGTGTTTAATATTTCGCTCGTCCCTCGTGAGGGTATCGCACTGTTGAAGCGGCGCTGCGAGCAGCTACGATCCAAAAAGTGTCAGAACCGCTCACGGCGCATGCGCGCGCAATCCTGCATCAACGCCGGCCGGTCGCTCGCTATTTCCCTAATAACACACGCTGTTCGTTTTTGTTTCTACACGATTTTTTACTCACAAAGATTGTCAAGAAAGCGTGTTTGTCGTGTTCATGTCAAATTAAACTGATCACAAAACACAGATTCACTTTCTTTATTTCGTTTTACTCATCCAACCCCCATAAATCCCTGTGTGTCCTCCTGCAGCACTCCCGAAGGACAACAGGCAAGACAAAAAAGTCTGACGTGTTGAGTAAAAACTGCTATTTTTAGCACACATTTTTAGGGCCGACGTGTTGCTACCAGACGTACAGTGTGAGCACATGACTCGTGAGATCTGCTCTGCGAGGAAGTCGTACAGTTTGAGCTGAAGCTGAACGCTGCGAGTGAAAAAGTCGCACAGTGTACGCCCGACTTAAGGCCTAGTCCACACGTAGCCGGGGTTTTTTAAAAACGAATATCCGCCCCTCCAAAAACTTGCATCCACACCACCGCGTTTAAAAAGAAAACTCTGTCCACACGTACCCAGATAAATACGTTGTTAAGGACATGCCAGACCTGTAGGCGGCAGTACTTCCCCCGTTCTTAACCTCGTTCTTCATCTGTGGTCTTCCACAAGGAGCAGTAATTCCGCTTGCAAAAACAAACAAGCAAAAAGCGCTTGGATAATTGATGGATCGGGTAGTGACAGAGCGCAGCTGTGAGGGCTTCCATGATGTCGGCTAGTGTAAACACAGGTCGCACACGTGATGTCAGCATTTTTTGTCGCGGAAAGTGACGTTGCGGACCTTAAAACTCCGGTTATGTCCGTCCACACGCAGACACCCAAACGGAGAAAACGCAGATCTTCACTTTGGCCGGAGTTTTTAAAAAGATCTATTTTCGTGTGAAAAAACTCCGTTTTCGTGTGGATGACAGGCCAAAACGTAGGAAATGTCTATGTTTTGGCAGATCCCCGGCTACGTGTGGACAGGGCCTAAGTTTTCTGTCGGCAAATGAGAAATGTGTGGTTACCATGGTCCTAATGAGCCACTGGAAGCAGTGTTAACATTTCTTATACGGTCCAGATCAAAGCAGACAGTCGATGTCAGGGTTAGGTGCAGCAGCTGCATTAGTGTCCAACGCAACAGCCCTTGATGCTTTTCAGATCTCTGTCTTACAGGCTTGTGTCCCTTGAGTGTGTTGTGTGTGCAATCCAGGAATAGTTGAGCTGACATGTTATTAGAAGCTTTAAACTTGTGGGAATATTTGTGGAAAATACAAATAATGTAATTTCTACTCCAAAATGTACTCTAAACTCATGTATTTTCTATCATTTGTTCCCTACATACAGTAGCAGATTAAATACAGCGTCTATTTGTTTCCCATAAAACATGAAGCCAATTTGCTCCACAACAAACACGCGGCTTAAAACAGGCTAGCTTTAACGCCCACTCCTCATGTTCTGCAGCATGTACAACATCCAGTCCCTTGTTTGCTTTCATCCCAGGGATTTCTTGATCACTGAACAATCTGAAAGCCTTTTGAAGAGCACCACGTCTCCCTGTGGTTGCTCCTGACTGAACCAACGCTCATTTCACGCCTTGTCCTTCTGCCTCCACTGAGACTCAATTGGATGAAGAGGCTGCTGGTGAGGAAGCCACTGGCTGATCTAATCACATCAGGCCATTTCTCCCCAGCCCTTTTACCGCTGATGTGCTGGGGCTGCTTTTACAGACGCTTTAACAGCCACCATACATGAGTCTGCACAGCAAAAACACACCTCTAGAGTCACTCGGTGAACTCTGAGTGCAGGTGAAGTTGTGGGCTTTTCCTCAGACCCAAATCATTCAATGTGTTATGAGACTTAGTGTTTCTTATTTCTCAGATAATCAGGGAAACTGGCAAAAGTCTCATTTCTAATTTCTGCATGTTGACTTTTCACGGAGGAGTCCTGTGCAGAAATGTCCCTGTTTGCATTCAGAAGGTTCGGTCCCTGACGTCTGTGTGACTTACTTCTTGGATTCGCTAACAGATGGTTCAATTAAAACAATGGCTTCTCGGTTTACTCTGGTATTTAATTTCTTACTGGAGTATTTTTTATTCCTGCCTTTTGCCTCTTTGATATGAAATGACTTTTATCCTGAAAAGTGCTTCATTAAAAAAATTACTTCACTACAAGTAACTATTGCTAAATTTTGTAATGGTTTAATTACATGTTATTTAATGAGCCATAAGGCTCATTAAACCAGAAGATTGGAACTTTTTATTGCAGGGATCATGTAAACACTTCATATTCACTAAGAGACAACAGAAGAGAGAGAGTCAAGTTAAAAGTTTAAAGATGTATTACTAAACAAATTAAAACTAGACTAACTTTAACACTAAATGTATGGTGTAACTAAGGTGGATGAGACGGAGAATGGTGTGATGTGGAATGTTGCTCAGAACCAGCAAATCCGAAGAAACGATTAGTTCTGATGGGAACTGAAGGTGATGTCTTCGTGTTAAGCGTTGATTAGGAGATTCATAAACATGTCGGGCTACATACCCTTAGCAGAAGTCCCCGTCTAGATCAGGAATGTCGAGGTCCAGCTTGACCTTCTCTGGAACCGAAGCCGGTAGGAAAAGCAACGGTTGCCCACCAGACCAGTCTTGAGATACTCCCGGGTCACGACAATTTTGTTGGCGTCTAGCGAGACCCAAACCTGGGTCGTGATGGTTCAGCTTTTATTCTGAAAGGAACCGTTGCAGCAGGTGGAACAGCAACAGATTTTATCCAGCTTGTCGTTGGTTCTTTTGGATCAAGAGGAAAGTTACGGATTGGCCACTCCTACACTTCTCTAGAACGCTTTGAACTGGAGTTAAAGATGACGTGGGCATAGTTTTATACTTCGGATGTTTTAGTTTATGATCGAATGAAAAGTTTTAACCTCCACCGTGGTAGTTGAAACCTCCCCCTCACGTTGGCTCGGTCCAAACTCGACCAATGACGAGGCGGCTCCCGCCGTTCACTTCATAGAGCCGGCTTTTAGAGCGATCGACACATCACTAACGTGTTCGCTAGCAAGATGGTTAAGGTTAGGATAGGGGTGAGGGGAGGGTTAAATAAGAGGATAAGGTTAAGGTGAGGTACAATGAGCTTGTTTGGTGCCCTGGCTGCGGACATCCCATCACGTCAGTGTAACGCTGAATTGGGATCTGCAGTCAAATAAGGGAAAAACTCCTTTTCGCACATACTAAGTAATGAAAAAGGGCACTTTTGGCATCAGGGGTCTGACGCGGAGGGTGGCTGACCAAGCGTTTGTTTTCGACTCGCTGGGAGTGAGAATGTGTTGGTTTGTTGATTTTTCTTCTATCCTGTAACCACGTTTGGTCCAACAGCAGAGAGATTGTTCAAAAACCTAAAAGAACAGGAAGGTAAAGGTAAATCTTAATCCACCTGAAGGGCAATTCACACGATTTTTGCAGAAATGCAACCAGTCTGGGTTTGTGTTTGTGTGCTGATGACGGCTCAGATGTGTGCAACATTAGTATGTATTGCCTAATGTGTCTGGGTTTTGCAGAGGCTGACTCTCACAGTGCACATTAATAGGATAGTTGTAGAGATGGAATCCTCTGTCTTGTTGCATATTACACATGCAATTATACCTCTGGCCTCCCTGTGCGCCAGCTCTGTTATCAGGTGGAAACACTCTCCTCCTTGCAGCCAGTGGATGCCTGCAAGAGTGAGAGAACAATCTTTTTAACAGTTAGCACACGTTGGCTCCGGTCTTTCCAGCAAATAATGCATTGACTCCTCTCTGCTTCGTCTTTTTTAACCTGTACCCCCCCCCCCCCCCCCCCCCCCCCCATTTTCCAACAGAACCAAGCAGAGGCTCACTATAAAGGCCACAAGCACGCCCGCAAACTTAAAGCCATGGAGGCTCAGAAGAATAGGCAGCGACGAGCCACGGAGGCCTCATCCACGGGAAGAGAACGAGACAAGAGCAAGACATCCAACGACACATCTCTTCCTGCACTCATGGATCCGAGCTCAGAGAAGGAAACAAGTAGGTGGAGAGAGAGAGAGAGAGAAACCGGAGAAAGGGAAGGGGAAGAGTGCGCTATTTGTAACTGAGCCCCCCCCCCCCCCCCCCCCCCCCGACCTTATGGATGATCTCTTTATCACGCTTTACTTCCACTAAATCCTACGTTTGCTCTTTTCCTTTATTCCAAGCCCAACTATCCCCCCCCCCCCCCCCCCCCCCTCCTTACATCACTAATAACTTCCTCCATCTTTAAAGCTTGGCTGCTCATCTAATCCTCTATTACACTTAAAAAAACATCCTTTGTGCATTTTATGCCCAATCCTCCTTCTTGTGGTACTGTGTTCAAAGTTGAGGAGGTTACAGGAGTTCATATATAAAAGCATCCTTAGCCAAAGTTCTGGAAGGTTTTCAAAGAGTTTGCTGCTTCACTCGTTTGCTCATCTAAATCGAGCTATGGCAATAATCATGCTAATACCCTAATCTGAGTAGGAGCCCTCATCCTAGATTACATCAGTTACAAAACTGATTGATGTGTGTTCCACTCGGAGACCGTAGGTGGCGACAAGCGCTCTTTCATGCCTTATGTTCCGCTTAGCCTACAGCAACAGAGATAGTAAGCAAACGCTAGCGAGGGTAAAGCAGGCGGAGAAAAAACAGGATATGGACAAGGTCTGAAGCATTTGCAGACAATAATGCAGCAGCACAGTGAATTTGGTACATACCGTACTGTTTGATGGTGTTTGTTGTCAGATTAACGCAGTCTTGTGGTGATTATAGTATCAGGGGGAGTGATGGGCCGGTCAAGCTCAGCTAACCTGGGATGTTCCGTTTTCTAACTGAATTATCTGGGTACCTTCGCTGGATTAGGAGTCCAGTTCAGCAGAGACTGATGTGTTTACATGCATTTACAAAGTCAGACTTTAGTTGGACTAAGTCAATTATTCAGTTTTCTCCTACTGTACTGTGGTCCCCCGTTTATCGCAGGGGTTACGTTCTAAGAATAATCTGCAAAAAGCAAAATCTGCGAAGTAGCCAGCTTCATTTTTTACCATAATTAGATGATTTAAGGCTGTAAACCCTCTGACTACACATTCTACACACTTCTCAGACATCTTCACACGTTTCTCTCTTGTTTAAACACTCTCAGTGTCCTATCATGAAGCAGAACACGATGTGCTGTGAAAGCATGCAAACTTACGCTAAAGGTAGGAATTGATTTCAGGTGTATTTATTAGTTTTCCCTTAAGTACTTTACCAAAGTGAGCTGCCTGAATGTCTTTCTCTCAAAAACATCGCTAGAACACCAAACGCTGATTATATTATGGCCATAGCAGCACCATGAAAACAATAAAACCACCAGATGCACCACTCCATGTGTTCTGGTGCTGCATTGCTACCACTGTGACTGTTAAAACCAGGAGAGACTCTGGAAAATTAAATTTAGTCAATGCAAAGCATACCTATTTACATTGTTTGTCTTTCTTTGACCTCTGATAAAGTTCCTTCTAATATGATAAAAAAGAGACGTGTCAGTAAAGTTTGTGAATATTAACATTGTCAAAATGTTGGTCAGTGGCTGCAGATGACATGTGCATACGGTCACCTCTCATTCTGTGTTTAGATGTTTGAACAACAAGTATGCTCTGATCTCTGCTGATTGAAAGCGTGTTTGTCTTCCCGAGGATGCTGGTTCAATTTCCAGCCATGCATTTTGTCCTGTTGACACTGATGTGCTTATTGTCTAATTTCCTTTTCACAGAATCTAAAAAATGTAAAGAGAGCTCCAGATCGGTAGAGCCGGAACATTTAGAAGATTAAAAGCAATCACCATCATTTCCAAATGCTTCTTGTAACCAACAAAAGCCAATGGAGAGAGGCCAACGCTGGTGTTATATGATCACACATCCTGTTCCTGTTAGAAGACAAGCGGTTACATTAGCTGTAAACCATAAAAACACAACAAATGAACATCCACAATGGAAGATGTTTCAAGATTTTCTCCTTTTTTTGAGAACAGAGAGTTTACCTTTTATCATTCGATGGCTAAAACCTAAACCTAGACTAGGGCTGCAGCCAGGGCCAGATTAACACTTTGTTGTACCCTGGGCAACAATATTAAAGGGCCCCGTCATCACGACCCAAGGATCACCATAATATAGTCACATACAGAATATTTTACTGTAATATGCAGTAAATATACTCAATACTTGAATGTGTGACATCACGTAACCCGCTCAGCATAACCTTTGACCCACCTCATGCAGACTGACCAATGACTGACTCTCAACTGACGTTCAGAGTCATAGGCAGCGAAGCGTCTCTGTGCAGCGGAAAAGTCCGGGTGGATAGTTTGTTGACTAAAGGGTGATCGTATTTCCATTTCCAAAAAAGAGGACAGGGGATCTGTGCCTATGACGTCACACTATGGCAACGCCACACAAACCATGTTGGGACCCATTTTTTCGTAAGAACTAAATTAATATCAGATTCTGCCAATAAAAGGGCTCTAAAACAATTCATATGTAAAAAATTTGCATATTTATTGCAAAATCTCATTTTTCTGCTTTAGTGCTGCAACAAGGTTTTATTAATAATACATTATTATACCTTTTGTTTTACTGTAAGCGTCCTGTGCACAGATTATTAAGGATGCTTGTTTCAGCTGTGAGATTTGTTCCAAGCGAAACAAGATCATGGTCTGCTGCTAAAAATATGAAAATAAAAAAGCAAAATTATAAATGGCTCAATAATATATATATAAAATTGGCGTTGTCTAGTTCCCTCTTTCCCAGCTGATATTTATAGTTAATAAATATTTTATGGAACAACATTTGACTTGCATTTCGTTCACGGTTTAGGTTTGTATTGACCTCATCCTAGTCAAAATAACCTATCTAAATAATATAGTCACTTATCAGTAGAAATTAATTATTTCATTAACAGGTTCAGTAGTGAGCTACTAGAAATGCTAACATTTAATTCCTACTTGTAACAATGTACTTGTGGTATTTTATTATGTACGGGTTGTCAACATAATCTAGTCTAAATTGTATTGAATTATGAAAGTGTTAGTGAATTATATGCTACAACGGCTTGCCACAGTCTTTTGCGGTCGATGGAGCAGACTCGTAGCAACAACCAAATGGTAGCTGCAGCGGCTGTGCCCATCGACATATAAATATTGGACAATGGGTTTCCATGGGCTCCAATAACACATTTTTGAAGATAAATGGTAGGTGGCCACCACCGCCATTTTGACCGTGTCACAGGTTCCGTCAAGCCCAGACAATTCCACAAAAGGGAAGAGAGGTGGAGCTGAGGGTGGGGCTGTAAGGCTGGGATCAACTGACGACACCCGGTCGAACTAGCTACAAGCTAACCTGAAGCTAACCCAAAGCTAACGCGGAGGTGGGAGCTAAGCTAATGGAGGTAGCAACCTAGCTACAACCGGAGTTAACTGTGCACAACACCAGAGCTTCTGAGTCAGAGATACGCCGGGCTGACCGCTGGGTAAAACCGGGTGGAACACAGAAGTCTCCCGCAAGCTGCTGAAAGCCGGCAGCCGCACAGCAGACAGGAGCCGCGATCAGACAGATGCGCCGAGCTGCTGGGAGAACCAGCCGTCAGCCCACGCGCAGCAAACAGAAGCCGCGATCAGACAGAGATGCGCCGAGCTGCGGGGAGGGGAGAAACGGGTGGAAAACATCGGTCTCCCGAGAGCTCCACAAGCCGATAGTGGGAACCCAGCTCCACCAACATGTTATATTTCAACCCATTATCTAAAGTGCAGCATTATGTTAAATGCACTGGGTTTTACCCTATTACATTTAAATTTCATGGTTAAACAGTACATGTTAAAATCTAAGCTCAGCTCGGCAGTGACCTAAAATACATAAATATAATTTTACTTACCGAAAAAAATGAAGTGGAGACTCCTTGGACGCTCTATTAGTGCAATTAATGCCACAGCAAGTCATTTTGTCCAACAATTGCACAAATAATATCCAAAAAAGAATACACAAACACAGAGACTCAAAATGCTGGCGCGGTTTCCAAGCCAGACCGAGGCTCTACTGAGGCCTTTCCACGGAGCTAGCTCTGTGGTCACGTGGGTCTGAGGTGGCGGTCACGTGGGTCTGATGCTCATTAATTATACAGAATTTTAGGCTTTTAATACACTTAAACAGAAGAGTGAGAAAAAATTCACCCCCCTCAGAGTTGTCATGAGTGTAAACTAGATCATTTAAACCAAAAACATGTTTTGGTACCAGGCTGTAAACATGTTTATTTCTGCTGTGAAATTGGTATTTTTAACATAAGAGTCAATGAGGATTTGCTCGCTTCTGACACCAGCCCCTAGTGGATGAGGGTGGACCTGCAATTTTTTGTACTTCCGGGTTGTCCTCAATTTTTCAAGAGCATCTGGCTGCAGACATCAGCTGGCGTCTTTGCCGTGACAGGAAATGACGTATCCGGAAAAACAAGTGTCATTACCTTCGCCGGAAGTCATTACCTTTGCCGGAAGTAGTCTTTTTCGGAAGTCATTACCTTTGCCGGAAGTAGTTTTTTTTCTTGAATACGCTTTATTGACAAAGCACAAAAGTAGTTTGAATTTGTCAAAACCATACCGTGTCATTTTTCTCTTCGATTTGTACATATTTAAGAGAAAAATTACACGGTGGGTCATTACCTTAACCAGAAGTCATTACTTTCACTGGAAGTACTTTTTTAAAAAACAAAACTTACCGGAAAAAGCTTTTTATTTCGGATTTTTTATTTCTCTTCAGATCTGGACTGGCAAACTTAAGTAACGTTGTTACCTGCGTTGCATGAAAATCGAATATTAAATCCCTTTGTCCTTCAGACGGAATTTTTATGACAGTAGCACATACATACATATACATATATATATATATATATATATATATATGTATATATATATATATATATATGTATATATATATATATATATATATATATATATATATATATATATACACACACACAATAAAAGGCTGTAA